GATGCATCTCCAAGTGGGAAGAGTGTTGTCAGGTATTTCCGCCACTTAACCTCATCATGTTCTTTTGCCCCCAGGAATGTTAGTGAGTGCCAGGCTGACCCCTCAGGGCAATCTTCCTTAATCTAGAGAGCATTCATATTCTGGCTGGGTCATTACACTTTGGAGCTCTTTCTGACCTTTTTGTTGATCTTCAGGGTTGGATGGAATGGCAACCGTAAAGGTTACTCTGTACAGGGTGGAGCTTCGCCTGGAACAGTTTGCCCTTGACAGGTAACAACATGTGTTTTCTCCACCAGTGTCTATGATGAACCACATCTTCCTCACCTGAAAATATCACTTAAAAAAAGACCCTGGGGCCTGGTGCTGTGGCTTACCCTTGTAATCCCAGAACTTTGGGAGGCCGAGGCGGAAGGATCACTTGAGGTCAGGTGTTTGAGACCAACCTGACCAATGTGGTGAAACCCCCTCTCTACCACAAAATACAAAAATTAGACAGGCATGGTGGCACGCGCCTGTAGTCTCAGCTACTCGGGAGGCTGAGGTAGGAGAATTGCTTGAACCTGGGAGGCAGAGGTTGCAGTGAGCTGAGATGGTGCCAGTGTACTTCATCCTGGGGAACAGAGTGACATCTCAAAAAAAAAAAAATAATAAAATATAAAACAAAAAAACAAACAAAAACCAGGAAAGAGGATTGGTTGCACTGTCTTTCTTGGTTATATCTTTATATATTTTCAAGACATACTATTGGGAAAGTCCTACCTAAGATCTAACTAAAATCTCCCACAGTACAATCGAAACTCATTTTCTCTTGTTTTGTGAAGATGGAAGAATACCTAGTGGATCTTTGTTTTTGACAGTATTTCTCCCAAGACTCACCATTGCTCAACTTGGCCTGTTGCTTCCAGATTCTGAGGAAGGTCCGGGCTTTGTAGTAGCAATTACTTGGACCTCACTGGTTCTCTGGTGGGGTCTGTGGGCCTCTGCAGACTTCTTTTTTTATTAGTTTTTAAGATGGAGTCTCCCTTTTTCACCCAGGCTGGAGTGCAGTGGCATGATCTGGGCTCACTGCAATCTCCACTTCCCAGGTTCAAGTGGTTCTCCCGCCTCAGCCTCCTGAGTAGCGGGGATTACAGGTGTGCGCCACCATGCCCGGCTAATTTTTTATTTTTAGTAGAGATGGGGTTTCACCGTGTTGGCCAGGCTAATCTCGAACTCCTGACCTCGAGTGATCCACCCGCCTTGCCCTCCCAAACTGCTGGGATTAGAGGTGTGAGCTGCCACGCCTCGCCCTCTGCAGACTTCGTGGAGGAGTTTTCAGCCATTGTCAGCCATGTATGTTTGAAGGCAGGGCTGAGTTAGAGGTGAACAGAGAGGATAGTGGCCTGCCCATTCAGAAAGTTCTCAGAACACTGAAAATTTCTCTCTCTCTGAAGTGCCTTCTCCATGCTTTGGATTGCTTCTTAAAATGCCTGTTGCTTTGTTGTGAGAGAGATGCGACTGAAAATGTGGATAACTCAGGAGAGGTAATTCTCGGAATTCATCAGACACTTACTGTGCACTTACTGAGAACCTGGCACTGTGCTGTGTGCTTGGGATACAAAAATGGTTACAAGCTGGGCATGGTGGTATGTGCGTGTAGTCCCAGCTACTTGGGAGGCTCAGGTGGGAGGATAATTTGAACCCAGGAGTTTGAGACCAGCCTGGGTGACAGAGTAAGACCCTGTCTCAAAAAAAAAAAAAAAAAAAAAAAAGGAAAGATAGAAAAGCAAAGATGGTTACAGATGTCCCTTCCATTGGGGAGCTCCCAATTGAGTGTGTGGGAGATTGCTACGTAAAAGTTAATTTCAGTGGCATATGGCATTCAGACTAAAGCATGAAAATAATCGGTCTGAGGACAGGATCTGCTGTGTGGGAGAGGAGAAGAGGGGCTTAGGGCCTTGGTTTTACCGAATCTTCACCTGTTTCACTCACACCCAGCTGCCACCTGTCAGCACCTGTTTCAGACAGACAGGTCTCCCAGAGAATCCAGTCATCCTAGTAGATGGGATTTGTGAAATTATTTCCACCTTGAGAAGAACTGACAAGTCTAGGGCCATGAAGCTGGTCAGTGACAGAGATGAATCTAGAACACAGGTCTCTGGCAACCAGACCAAGTGTTCAGTTTACTGTGTTTCTCAGGGAGCCCATCTTTATCCAGGAGGGAGCCGTATCTTCAGGCAGTGAGTCATGACGCTCGGGCTGGGCCCCTCAATCTGTGGGGACAGGGTGACAGTTTTTCCTAGGATGACTGCCCCAGCACGAGTCCTAGAGACAGGCTGAGGCGGCATGGGTTGGAGGCTCTGGTTCTGCTAATTTTCTCGCTGTGTGGTCCTGGGCAGGTTACTCACTGTCTCTGGGCCGCAGTGAGATTATAAAATGGAGAGTATACATTTCTGTTTCATCTTGTTAGACAAAATTAAGCACATGTGTCTGAAGAGTTGTGCTAATACATTTATTTGTTTACAAAAGCAAAGACCTTTGTGCCCATCTCTGAGGCCTCAGAGTCTGCTTCTCTGGTTAGTGGAAGCTGGAACAGTGGTTTTTTCCTTCTTTGGTTATTTATGAGATGTTGCTTTTCTGATCTATTGATAGGTGCTGAAAAACTGCCTGTAAACCTAGTTTGTTTTTTTTTAACCTCCCACAATAGTTATCTTAACCTCGTGTTTATAGTTTAAGGGCTGCTGTCATCTGTGTGTCCCTTCAGTGTTGGCCTGCTTAAGATTCTGACTCCAGGTTTCTTCTTTTACATATATATTTTAAAAAAGAGAGAGAGAGAGACAGGGTCTTGCTATGTTGCCCAGGCTGGTATCAAACTGCTGGACTCCAGCAATCCTCTTCCCTTGGCCTCCCAAAGTGTTGGGCTTCCAGGTGTGATCCACAGAGCCTAGCCCCAGGTTTCTTCTTATTTCTCCTCCTTTTCCTCCTTTTACCCTCTCTCTTGCTCTCTCTCTCTCTCACCCTCCCCTTTCTACTTTTTTTTTTTTTTTTTTGAGGCAGTCTTGCTTTGTTGCCCAGGCTGGAGTGCAGTGGCCCAATCTCGGCTCACTGCAACTTTCGCCTCCTGGGTTCAAGCGATTCTCGTGTGTGTGCCATCACGCCCAGCTAATTTTTGTATTTTTGGTGGAGATGGGGTTTCGCCGTGTGGGCCAGGCTGGTCTCATACTCTTGGTCCCAAGTGATCCGCCCGCCTTGGCCTCTCAAGTGCTGGGATTACGGGCATCAGCCACCATGCCCAGCCTCCCCTTTCTACTTCTAAATCCATATACTGTCCTTGGGCGATTTCATCCATTCCCCTGGCTTTTATTATTCCTGTCTGAGACTTCGTATTTTTCCTGAGCCTTAGGCTCATACCTCCAACTGACTAATGGGCATTTCCACTGGGATGTTCTTCAAAACTCAGCTTGTCTTTTTGTAATTGAATTCATTATTTTTCCCTTCAAATCAGTTCCCTCCATTCTATTACTTATATTGGGGCTTGGTACTTTTGTTTTCACAAGGCTTCTCTCCCTCCAAAGCAAATGTTCCTCAAGCCTGCCTTCTCAGCTCCATCACCATAGCCAGCTCTCACGTGTATTACACAAGCATCCTGACTCCATCGCAGCCCCTCTCCTGCACTTCTTCACTATGCAGCCAGAAGGGTCTTCATAACCTCACTTCTGTTCCCCTCCTGCTTCATCCACCTGCTGCTCCTGTGTGCTCTGCCTCCAGTCAGTCTGACCTTTTAATTCCTTGAGTGGGATGCTCTCTTCTTTTCAGGTTTCATCTATGTTGTTCCATCAGACAGAATTCCTTTCTTATAACACTGACCTACTTTGCCACCATAAGACCTTTTCCTTTGTTTAGTTAGCCTTTCTTCTAGGGAATATTTCTTAACTGAGGTCTTCATTACGTCTGTGTTTCTGAAGCATCCTGCACTGGAGTGTGGTTACATGCTCACATTGTATCCTTTATTAGATCCTACACAGTGAAGGCAGAGTTTATTTTATTCAGTGTTTATTTTATTCAGTGCCCGCTAAGCTCTTTGCATGGAACATAGTAGGAGCTCAGTAAACATGTGTTTAGGGAATGAATGAATAATCAAATGATGAAAGCCTCTAAGGAAATTCGATTTTCATGGAATTCTACCATAAATCATTTTGCAAAACAAGAAGTCCTCTTGAAGCTGAATAATTACCCCTTCATACGCCATTTATGTAAATCTGTACTATTATGTATTGGCTTGTCTATCTTAAACCTGTTGGTTTCTCTTCTGGTTTTAACTGTGTTCTGTGTCTTTAGTAAGTGCCCAGAGAGTAGACACTGTGTTTTTTTTTGTTTTTTGTTTTTTTTTGAGATGGGGTCTCACTCTATCACCCAGGCTAGAGATTGCTGGTGAGATCTTGACTCACTGCAGCCTTGACATCCTGATCTCCTGAATAGCTGGGTCTACAAATGCATGTCACCATGCCTGGCTTTGTGTGTGTATGTGTTTTTGAGACAGGGTCTAATTCTGTCACCCAGGTTGGAACACAGTGGCACAATCATGGCTCACCGAAGCCTCAACTTCCCCAGCTCAAGTGATCCTCCTGCCTCAGCCTCCTGAGTAGCTGGAGTTTACAGGCATGTGCCACTATGCTTGGCTAATTTTTTCTACTTTTTGTAGAGACAGGAGCCTGTTATGTTGCCCAGGCTGGTCTCGAACTCCTAGACTCAAGGGATCCTCCTGCCTCAGCCTCCCAGTGCGTTGGGATTATAGGCATGAGCCACCACTCCTGACCCAGAGACTGCCGCTCTGAAGGTAGTCTCTATTCAGGGGAGCCAAACTTGGCAGAGTTAGGGGGAGAGTGATCAGTCTTTCCCAAAATGAGGTTCCAGAGAGCACGAGCACATTGGGAACAGTATTTTGTCTGATGGTGGACCCAGGGCCCTGGTATAGTCTGCAAACAGCAGTTAGGTTTTTTTTTCCCCACCAAAGACCCATAACAGTTTTGAAGAACATTTATTTTTGGAGCTGTGGTTGCCATGGTAACGCAATACTTTTTCTCATCTTCTGATTCCAGGTCAGGGCAACAGTTGTTCCTCCTGCAAGGGAAGAGGATTTTGGAATATATGCATCCTTCCACCTTTTTTCCCCAACTGACTAATCCAACAAACATTTATTGAACATGTACTACCTGCCAGATTCTGTTCCTAACACCAGAAACAATAGTGAACGAAATAGTGTCTGCCCTACAGGGGCTTATCTAGTGGGGTAGAGAGACTGTCAGCAAATTATCAGTGCAATATTGGTCCCTATTTGTTTAAAAGCACATTGTTTGGCCACGTCACTGAAAGGGAATTAGTTTGTTTTCTAAAATTTGGAAATCAAGAGTTGTAAAAGAAGTGTCTTCCATACTGCTTTGAAGAGCGATATGGGAGCGGGGAGGAGCTGATGGCTAAATGTGGGAAGCGGACCCTCTTCCCATTGATAGTGGGACTTCATTGGATTTGGTGTGGGCACTTTGGAATGCAGATGCATTTGTTGCTCTGACATCATCTCAGACCTTGGGAGATGACAGGATTAAGTTGGGTCTCTCTGCAGCTGTCAGATGTCAAAGCCGTTGCTCTCCTGGTGTTTGTGCGAGTCTCTTGGCAGTAACAGAAGCCAAGAGCCAAAGAGCTGCCAGAAATGGCCCTTTATTATCCAGTGTAATGACAGCCTGGAAAACAGTCAGAGAATGCCATTTATTAAGCTACCACAGAGTGCGGAACCTTGAACTGGGCTCCAAGAAGCAAAGTAGAGAGGAAAGAGGGGATACTGATACCTGCTGTTGGGAGCCTTCCATCAAGGTGGCAGAGAATGGCACTCACAAGGACACAAATGAAAATGATGCAGACAATAGCAATTCATCACAATCTCTTAATTTGAGTAGCACTTTACCTTTTCAAAGCAATTTACCAGGCCATGGGCTCTCCCACAGAAGGGACAGGGTATAATTATTCTTTGTGATTGCTTAGCACTTACCACAGTGCCTGGCACACACCAGGATGTCCAGTGAGAAGCTTATGGCATGACAATCTATTACCTCATTTGTTGCTGCATCCTATGGGGCAGATGTAATGAGTATATCCACCTGGCATTTAAGGAAATGGGGACTCTGAAATATGCCCACATCCATACAGCTAAGTGATGCTAGAAACCAGACTCAAAAAGAGATTGTGTCATGTCACTTTTAATTGATGGTCCTTTCTTTGTTGTACCATACATGTGTGTATCTGACATTATACTGAGGATTATGGATACATGCTGACAGTGTGGGTAATTAAAATCCACAGGAAATAAAACATAAAGACCAAACATTTTAACTAGCAGTTTCGGCATGCCTCCACTGTTTGAAAGCAGCAGCTTCTGTGAAAAGCTTTGACTGAATTTTACCTCCCCTGCTCCCCTTCCCATTTGGAGGAACACATTACACAGTCAGACTGCCAGAGAGAGGAGAGTCCAAATCCCGCCAGCCAGCACTTGTTGCTTGGCTGCTATGTGCTGGCCACTGAGGTGTGGCTGGCTTCTTCTCTTGAAGCATTTAGTCTAGTTTATTTATTGTTCATTCATTTGTTTGACAGCAGATTATATATATATATATAGGGTGTTGTTCTCTCGCCCAGGCTGGAGTGCAGTGGCATGATCATAGCTCACTGCAGCCTCTAACTCCTGGGCTCAAGTGATCCTTTGGCCACAACCTCCTGAGTAGCTGGGACCACAGGCACGTGCCACCATGCCCAGTTAATTTTTTAGATTTTTATAGAGACAGGGTCTCACTGTTTTCCAGGCTAGTCTTGAACTCCCACTCTCAAGCAATTCTCTTTCTTTGGCCTCCTAAAATGTTGGGATTACAGATGGGAGCCACTGCACCCAGTCCGACAGCAGATTTTTTTGACCAGCCATTAGACAGTCAGTGCAAATAATTGTGAACAAATGTAAAATTTTAAAATATGACAGTCAAGTCCAACAGAGCTTAAAGGAAAAACATATAAAACTGTGACAAGTGCATCAAAGGAGAAGACAGCAATAACTGTTACGTTTGGTAATCCTGGCAATTAGCCAGGTCTTGTGAAGGACTTTTTTTTTCTGGTAGAAGACCTTCCTTAGCCGGGCGTGGTGGCTCACGCCTGTAATCCCAGCACTTTGGGAGGCCGAGGCAGGCAGATCGCCTGAGATCGGGAGTTCAAGACCAGCCTGGCCAACATGGTGAAACCCTGTCTCTACTAAAAATACAAAAATTAGCCAGGTGTGGTGGTGGGCGCCTGTAATTCCGGCTACTTGGGAGGCTGAGGCAACACAACTGCTTGAACCTGGGAGGTGGAGGTTGCAGTGGGCCGAGATGGTACCATTGTACTCCTAACTGGGCGACAAAGTGAGACTCTGTCTCAAAAAAAAGAAGACCTTCCTTAATGAGTGGAGTTGGATAGACATTTTGCTTTGGAAAACAGAAGCAATTTACTCTCAGTATGGGGTCTACTTCATTTATTCCACAGAATAGGCAAAGATGCCCGGGGCTTTTGCTGACTAGGGAATTCTGGCCATGGCCTTTTGCTTCTCTTCTAACCAGACCTTTTGCTTCTCTTCTCCCTTTTTGCCAGATGCAGAACCACCAGACTTCCCTTTCATTTCTCCAGGAAAGAATGGGTGGGGAAGTGAAAGTTCGTTCTTGTGTTTCACAGGCACCGTTGAAGTTAAGAATTCAATATTTAGATATTTTTGAGTTACCATCAGTGCATTTTTCTGACCTTGTTCCTCATAGCCATGGAGAATCTAGAGTTCTAGAGCATTTTACCTTAATTGATGACTAGTTTCAGGCCTTTATGTGTGGCTAGTTTGGAAATGACTCATATTCATTTGAACAGTATCCTTAGAACATTAGGAAGAAACAATTGGCAGTATGCAAATAACTCCAAACCTCTAATCCAGCTTAAACGGACAAATACAGGAGAATATAGACATGCAGAAACATAAATGTTTTCTAATAAATATGTGTATATATCTAATACACATAAATATATATTAAATCTAAGTATATATCTATATACAAGTATATATTTCTTTTTATTTTAAGACAGTCTCACTCTGTCATCCAGGCTGGAGTGCAGTGGGGCAATCCTGGCTCACTGCAACCTCTGCCTCCCGGGTTCAAGCAATTCTCATGCCTCAGCCTCCCAAGTAGCAGAAATACAGGCGCGCGCCACCACACCCAGCTAATTTTTGTATTTTTAGCAGAGACGGGGTTTCGCCATGTTGGGCAGGCTGGTGTTAAAACTCCTGACCTCAGGTAATCCTCCTGCCTCAGCCTCCCAAAGTGCTGGGATTACAGACATGAGCCACCGTGCCCGGCAATATATAGGTATATATTTTTTAAACCTAGATATTCCCTAGGGCAGGCTAAGTACTTTTTGGTCTTGGAATACTGACTCAAATTTCAGAAATAAATTTTAACTTGCCTGTTGCATATGATACTTGTTTTAATGTCAGCAATTGGGCTCAAACCTATCCACCTCAGGGAGATTTCTGGATCTTGCCTGTTTGATCGTAGGGGAAGACAAAGTAAACCCAAAGGGGCCTGAGCAGTGGAGCATCTGAAGTCCCAGGTCGCTACCGATCGTGAATTCGAGGGTGATCAAGGACAGCTAAGAAACAGAACCGTGTTTCTGTTTCTTCCAAGGCTCTGTATCTTTGTAAAATCCCATTGATAATGGCCCATGCCAACGCTGTTTCTCACCTGTCCCCACCTCTAGCAAGGCCAGAGTAGATACTTTCCCAGCAGCTGAGTGTGACTTTTATCCCGGTAATAATTTCAATCCTGCTTCCATGGAGTAAAATTCCAGCCTGGGACAAAGCGGGCAGGCAGCTTTGCATCATCAGCTTCCTCTTACATACGTTGGTGACCATAATAATACCTACCTTGAAGACTGGTTTGCAGATGAAATGCGATGAGGCACCTCTCCAATTTCCTGACATCCTGTAGGTACTCACTTCCTGGTTATTTCCTTTGTCCCTCTCCGCTTTAAATTTAAGAGAAGGAGGTGTTTTCATATGGGTGTCATTTGAGGCCAAGCTTATCTGATCTGAAGGACAGGCCCCGGGGCTTGCGGTTGTTTTTTCCTCATTGCCAGGCACCTTTGCTGAGTCATTTGGGGTTGGCAGACCTGGAAAAGACAGCGGTGTAGAGAGTGGTTAGTGCCATGTGTGGTCGGCCAGCGCAGGCTCTATTGTCTGTTAGTATTTCCTGGTGCACTTTTGGAACCTGATCTGCCCTTCTCATGGTTAAGGGCGGGGGGCGGGGGGCGGTGAGTACCTAGCCGTGGGGATGTTCTGCCTATCTTGCCTCGTGCTGAATTTCCTATAAAATGGCTTCATGAAACTTTGATGTCAGCTTAAGCAGTACTGCCACCAGGCTCTGCGGAGGGCCGTAAGTGAATAGAGGGCAGCAGTATCTTCCAAGTTTGAAATGAGTGACATTGGGTTATAATTAGGGGAGAATATGCTCTTGGTGCTACTGAGAAGATACAGAGTGAGAACTTTTCTTAGAAAAGTGTGAGGTTGTAAAGAAGAACCAAGATAAGATTTAAAGATTGCCTCTGAGTGATAGGAGACATATGTGGGAATAGGACTGGTTTTATGTGTCCCCTGAAATGCTTATTCCATCTTTAGTGACGCTGTATTTGTGGGACTAGGTACACGTAATTTTTGTTTAAAGAAATGCTTTAACTTGTTATATCTGAAGGATGTTTTATGAGCACTTAGTCTTTTACTAGTTTTGTGATGTTTTATCCCATCAACATCAATGACAAGTATTGTTTGAATATGTACTTCATGTAAGATGTATAAGAGCTCTATTTAATATTTAGGAAAGTAGGAAATTAAACATTTAAGTCTATTTTTCACCCAACATACAGAGATGAGAGGGAAAAATATTTGATTAAACTATAATCTTTGTTTCTATTATGACTAGGTAGAGATTCCTTAGGATGAATTAAAATCAAAACAGATTTCACTAGAATGTTATTTTTATTTTTCATTTTATAGAGACAGGGGTCTTACTATGTTGCCCTAGCTGGTCTCAAACTCCTAGGCTCAAGCGATCTGCCCTCCTTGGCCTCCCAAAGTGCTAGGATTACAGGCATGAGCCACCGTGCCTGACTAGATTTTACTAGAATCTGCTTGTGAATTCCCTTCAAAATTAAAATTACAATGGACCCCCTTCTGATGATATGCATTCCACTCAACTGATCATTCATCCTCTACTTGCTATGCAAACTGCTGTGCTCACCACGCAATACGGGGTAGTTTGCAAAGTCACGGACTCTGGAGTGATCTGCATGGATTCTGTCTAGGCTCTGCCACTTACTGTCTGCCCTTAACATATTTTTTAGCTTTTTTGAGGCTACATTCTTCAGCTTCATTGTCTTAATAACACTTTGTACTTCTGAAATTATCATCTTCTTTTATTTTTCTCTGTTGATGATCTGTCTCTAATTTTTGCATCCCTTCTGCTAAACCACAAGAATTTGAGGTCCTTGAGAGCAGGGACCTTGCCCAATCTGTTTATTACTGTGTTCCCAGTGGTTAGAAAACAGCCTGGTATATAGAAAACATTCAACCAGGCCGGG